ACATAAGCTAACTTCATAAATTGATGTTGATTTTCCTAAAATATTTTTTTTTTACTCACCACTCATCACTTTTTTTTACTTTGGTTGGGCAACTTGGAACTTCATTTATGTTACTATAATTTTTTTTCTGTTAATGCAGCAATGCATCATGAAGTCAGAGTTATTTGATTTCAAGGGAAGAGAAGTAATAAATAGGTTGCTTTTAGAAGGTGATCTATCTTCTAATTAAATCATAAGTGAATTTTTTTGTGCTTGTGTTTATTAATGAACTTTTGCAAATTAAATTTTTCATAATTACCTTGAGAAGCTCTTAATAAGGCTTATATAATCCTTAAATAGTGTGTGGTAATATGCTAAAGTCACACACAGACTTAAACATTCAGCACGCGAATCACAACAATGGTAACAATTAAATTTCATTTATTTTCATTACTTGTAACAATAACCATTTTATTTGCTCTTTTTGTTGTGCTACTCCTGACACAAGACAGCAAATAAAATTGGCAAATAAAATCAACAACTGTAAAACAAAGCAACTGCATAATTTAGTCATGCCGCAATGCACTCTGGGAGTCAGTGAGTAGCTATACTAAGTCATGAGTAAACCTAAATGAAAGGATCAAGTACCCCCTACAGTTCTTTTTTAGTTTCTAGAACTCTCATGTAAGTAAACTATACTAAGCATTTGTCAGTACAACATACTATTCCTATTTCACTTTACTTAGTTTTTTCAAGGCAATCGGTTTGCATGCTTTTTTTAAGTAAGCCCAACTAATTCGATTTTACAGTGTGTGCAACAATTTGCTAGGAAAGAGCTGCTTCTGAGCATTCTGAAGTCATGACGTGTGCCCAGTGACCTGTAAAGCAACTTGGCTTAGAATTCAAAACAATCCTCCAAAACATACAGTTTTTTTTACATGTGAACCGAACCAACAAATTCAAAAGAAAGGTGTCCTGCACATTTGCACGTCTACAATTTTGGTCAAAAGGATATGTGGGAAACTATTTTGAAATATTTACGCATGCAACACACTGTTATCAGCATTTCTTTTTGAAAATCGATTCAAAATTGCAACACCCTTGAAATGACAACACTTGACTTCTTGACATCATTAAACCTGGACATGCACATACTTGCTAATACACAACACGCACATAAACACACATGACCAGATGTACTAGATGTGTGCTATACACCCTCTTCTAATTACACACATCCATCATTTGAAATAAACACACACATATAAACACACACATCTCTCCTTCTACCTGTGAGCTCTCCCCGCGGCTCTTCTACG